TCGGCGGGCGAAACTACCTCTGGGGCGCCGAGGTGGCTCGCGTCGCCGGGCGGCCGCGGCGGCGGCTCTCCATGGCTCGGAGGAGGCTGCTCCTGTTCGCCAGGAGTTACTTTGCTCGGGGAGGGACGGGGGCGGAGCCGGGGGGTGAGGGAGCCCCGCGGGCTCCGGGCTGTGGGTAGGGGCAGTTGCGGGTGAGGAGACCAGCGGGGGTCCAGTTGGGGGCAAGCAAGCCATCCGTGGGGGTGATCAGGACAGTCGAAGTCACATCCACCTGCATCGATAATTCACTGCTTCTTATTCATGTATAAGGAACAAGACACCTTCCCCCGGAGAAAACTTACTGTTCCATCGTCATGTAAAAATAAAACTCGAACCAAAATACACGTACGGGAACTTTCCAGTGTGAACAGCTGGCACGTCTCCTTCCTGGTTTATTTGTCATTTGCAGAATATTTGGGTTTGCTCTCTGCTTCACCGACTTCGCTGTTGTTCTGAAACCTTCCGGCCTGTTTGCACTTCTTCGCTCAGGAAGAACCTGAGAACTGAATCGGGGCTTCCTAGCCTTTCCTTTCACACAGGTCTGCTGGGGGAGGAAAGGGGGTTTGTTTGGTTTGTGATATCTAGTAGCTATTTAAGACATAAGTATTTGTTTTAACAAAGGACTTTACACCGATATTGAAAACAGCAAGGAATGATTTCATCCGGAGGAAAATAATGCTATTTGCCTATTATGACGGTAAAGTATTTTTGCAGTTGGCTATTTCTCCAGCAGCTCCAAGTGGCCTCACCATATGCCACACTTCTTGCTTCTGGAAAAAAAAAAACACAACAACTATAGTGCATACTTATTCATTTTTGTAAAATATCAAATAAATAGTTGTGATCACAATTGAATACGCAATGTTCATTCAGAATATTGATGCCTTGTATACAAATCCTAAAACAGTCTATTAATTGACATCTGTCAGTTACACATTTTATCTTTAGCCTTTGTAAATCAACACAATGTAATATTCAATTCAATATAGCAAAATTTACCAAGACATATATTTCCTATTCAAATTAAATATATTCTATTAATGACCAGGATTATGACAAAACTGGAATACATATATTCCAGTTTACATAAAAAGCTGGAATATATATATATATAGAGAGAGAGAGAGAGAGAGAAAGAAACTGGAATGTATACACATGTGTGTATATGTACGTGTGTATAGACAAATATAATCAGGAAGGAAAAGGCTTCTTTTAATTGGTAAGAACAGAAGCTTGATTAAACAGAATTTGGAGTGTTAGGCTGACTCATTAGCAAACTCGCCAGACACTTGTCAATTTGATTCAGCACAGTTAAGTTCATTTTTCCTTAGGACACACCATCGACTTTTAAAAAATTAATTAGCCTATAACTGTCAGTACATCACTGTTCTTATTTTTTCGATTAAAGAATATTCCTAAATCCTAGATAACAAAAAACTGAAGGATATATATTTTTCTTTTGAAGGACTTAGCAGAACTTTGTAAAATTTAGCAACAATATGCTTCAGGAAAAACAAACAAAAAGTCACCATCTATATACTAGTTAATCTGTTCTTCTATTCTTGAAAGAAAGGTGAAGGAAGTTCATGACTGGGTGGATTTATTTGTTTAAACACACAAAAAGCTTGTTTAAAAATTGGCATACAGCGGTACAGCAAAGTCCACATGGTTCTTATCTTGCCCATTTCGTCAGTCAACTGATGGATGATTGATTTCACTTCCTCTATCCTAGAAGTAAAAACAGTAACAGGTAAAGTTTAAGAGTGCTTACAGTGTGCTAAGCACTGACTTAAGATGCATAATGTATCATTGAAACATGAAGATATAATGTCTCCTTGAGTTCAGACCACAATCCCATGACATTCTTACTGCTATTACTCCCATTTGACAATGCAGAAGTAAAGTTACAGATTGAGTAATTTGCCCAACAGCATTTATATGGGTGAGAAGTAAGGGAGAGGAAACAGAGAGGGAAAGGAAATGCTCAAAAGGAATCAGCACACTAGCAAGGATATCTTCTGACTAAAAATCAAAGAAATGCAATAAAACTTGTGAACAAGTAAAACAAGCCAGTTGTCCCTGGTTGTCCCTAATGCTGGCCAGCGTGGATTAAAACCATTTGAGCAGAGACTAAATGTGTCTTTCACATATTACTTGGTAAATCTTAAGAACTTACTAGGTCTTCGTTTATTTGAAAGAATGAATGAACTGGGTATAACAGGAAAGATTATCAATCAATAGAAACTCGGTATAACAGGAAAAAATTATCAACATACATTTAAACATCACTAAAATGTTCATATTCTTTAATTTACCAGCTATTCTAGGTAAATAATCCACAATGTGGGAAGTGCTATATACACAACATTTATCATTTACAAAAGAGAAAAGTAAAAATGATATAAATGGCCGAAGCCGGTTTGGCTCAGTGGATGGAGTGTCGGCCTGTGGACTGAAGGGTCCCGGGTTCGATTCCGGTGAGGGGCATGTACCTGGGTTGTGGGCACATCCCCAGTGGGAGATGTGCAGGGGGCAGCCGATCGATGCCTCTCTCTCATCGATGTTTCTGGCTCTCTATCTCTCTCCCTTCCTCTCTGTAAGAAATCAATAAAATATATTTAAAAAAATGATATAAATGTCCAACAATAGGCAGATTCATGAACATTATCTGGATAGAATATCTCATAGCTACTAGAAATGGAAGTTGTTAAAAGACAGTAAGTTGCAATGTGAGAAAATGAGAAAATGTTGATCTGATTTTTTTTTAACCAGTGTCACACCAATAGACTCAATAAAAAAGTAAAATAAATAAATAAATGATTTTACAAATCAGAAAACAGTACAGAATTTCAGTTTGGGAAGATGAGAAGGTCTGGAGATGGGTGGTAGTGATGGTCGCACAACAATGAGAATGTATTTACAGCACTGAACTGTATAATTAAAATGGTAATTTTTGTTACACATATTTTACTAGAAAAAATAATCAGAAGTCAAAGTCAACATGTACCATGATCAGAACTAAGAAGACTGAAAAGCAACCCCCATAGCCATAATATTGATATAGTTATTAATAGGTATAGAATCAGTTTCCTACTGTTTGGGGTATATGGTTATATCTATTTTTAATATATTTTTATTAATTTTAGAGAGGAAGGGAGAAGGAGAGAGGGACAGAAATGCAATAAAAGATGAGAAAATATCATTGATTGGCTGCCTTCTGCACGCCCCCTACTGGGGATTGAGCCTGCAACCCTGGCTTGTGCCCTTGACCTGAACCGAACCCAGGAACCTTCAGTCTGCAGGCTGACGCTTTATCCACTGACCAAACCGGCTAGGGCTATAGGATATCTTTTTAAGAGGACTTGTATTCTGATTGCAGATTTATCACATACTAACTGTAATCATGAATTTAGATCTGCATGTGGCAGGTGGTGTTATTAATTTCACTTAAATGATGAGAAAAACAAAAGCTTAGTGAGATTAAAATACTTGGCCAAGGTTATAACACTGATCAATAGCAGAGCTGTCACTCTGACCTGAATATTCTGATTCTGAATCTCATTTCCCCCCATTCCCCCAACACCTATGTGCCCGATTCTCATCTCTTAAAATATTTCATTGCAGTGTACAAAATCTTCAATGTCAATCTATCAGACAAAACCTCCTGGGTGGGTAGTGGAAACAAGCTTTTATTTTCTCTTTGAAAGGAGAAAAGAAGAAGAAAAATTAAAGCTCTTCTTATAATAATTGTCTTGCATGGTTATATATGCTTTTATTAGGGTCCTCTAAGAAGTGAGGGGATGGGAATTATAGCCCTTGAACAGAACAGGTACTTACAGAAAAGAAAAAAACAACAACAAAGAAGAACTTCTGATGCCTTTCAAAGCTGCTGTTCTGGAGTATTTGAATCTTCCAATGAAGGAGAAAGCCCAGCTGCTCTGGAGTGGTGCTGGGAGCTGGCCAGTGACCCCTTAGATCTCCACACCAGCGCATCTAGGAACAAGTGGGATGGTGATGGCACTGTGCCCAAGTCTCTGAAAAATTATCCTCTTCTAAATTCCTAGGTAATTTTGGATCACATGGAAAGAATTGCATTGTACTTAAAATCAGAGTTATTTTGTAAATCCTCTGAACCCTTTAAAACATCCATAACTGGGAATTAGTTCAGAAACACTAGTCAAGAAAGTGTATGCTCCAAAGGTTTTATCCAAGGAAGAAAAAAAAATATTTGAGCAGCTTGAAAGCACAGTTTCGCCAATTTGGAAGAGCAATTTGCCTACAGCTGGATATAATTAACAAGCCTGGGTCAAAAAGGAAGCCAATCATAAAAGTGTAAATTGGATTGAGGTGGAGGGATGGGACAGTGACAGCCACTTCCCAAGCTGGTATATTCTGACTTCAGAGTCTCCCCTGATTTTCAAAAAGTCGACTCTAGCCCGGCCAGTGTGGCTCAGTGGTTGAGCATCAACCTATGAACCAGGAGGTCACGGTTCGATTCCTGGTCAGGGCATCTGCCCAGGTTGTGAGCTCGATCCCCAGTGTGGGGCATGCAGGAGGCAGCTGATCAATGAGTCTCTCTCATCGTTGATGTTCCTACCTCTCTCTACCTCTCCTTTACTCTTTGAAATCAATAAAAAGGAGCGATATCACCCTAACCAGTTTGGCTCAGTGGATAGAGCGTCAGCCTGCAGACTCAAGGGTCCCAGATTCAATTCCAGTCAAGGGCATGTACCTTGGTTGCGGGCACATCCCCAGTAGAGGGAGTGTGCAGGAGGCAGCTGATCAATGTTTCTAACTCTCTATTCCTCTCCCTTCCTCTCTGTAAAAAAATCAATAAAACATTTTTTTAAAAAAAGGAGCGA